TCTGGCTGCACGTGACAAGCAGACCGCCGGTATGAGGGTGGAAGCAGGAAAACCAAGGACTGGCTGCTGCAATGAATCAGGACGGAGACAAGGCTGAACAAGATGAGAGTGAAGGCAGAGAGAGGCATCAGGGCTGAACAGATTCTGCATAAGAATTTTGGCAGGGGGCAGTGGCTCACTGCAATCTCCACCTCCCACGTTCCAGTGATTCTCCTGCCTCAGTCTCCCAAGTAGCTTAGATTACAGGCATGTGCCACCACACCCGGCTAACTTTGTATTTTTAGCAGAGATGAGGTTTCTCCATGTTTGTCAGGCTGGTCTTGAACTCCCGACCTCAGGTGATCCACCCACCTCGGCTCCCAAAGTGCTGGGATTACAGGTGTGAGCAACTGCGCCCATCCTGTACAACAATTTCTATTCCTTTGGGTATATACCCAACGATGGGTTTGCTGGGTGGAATGGTAATTCTATTTTAAGTTCTTTCAGAAATTACCAAACTGCTTTCCACAGTGGCTGAAGTATTTACACTCCCACTGTATAAGCATTCTCTTTTCTCTGAAACCTCACCAGCATCTGTTATTTTTTGACTTTTCAGTAATAGCCATTCTGACTGGTGTGAGACACCATCTGAGAGACATTGGAAGCATTAATATGTCCCTAATGATTAGTGATGTTGAGCATTTTTTCATATAACTACATAATTTTAGGTAATAGGGCATCTGTGGCCAGAGGTTCCTTCTTAGGCAGCTTACTTGACCTCTCTGAAGAACCTCTAGCTTTATTGTCATCCAATTTCCACACTCCTACTGGCGACATGACAGCTGACAATCACCATGACAATGACCAGAAGAGACCAAAAAAGGACAAAAAAGAAGTGGCTCTTTGTTTCCAAGAAAATCTCCATCCCTTCCCAAGAAAAAGCATAAATATTCCTCCCCTTGCTTTTAATGCTCAATACATTTATTAAGAGTATCATTTATCTGTAAACTCCCAGTTTTGAAGAGCTGAGAAGTTGATCTGCAAGCTACACTCCCCACTTCTCCAATGCCATTGGCAATTGTCCTCCTGGACTGCCTGAACCCAGGAGGCGGAGGTTACAGTGAGCTGAGATTTCACCATTGTACTCCAGCCTGGGTGACAAGAGGGAAACTCTGTCTCAAGAAATAATGAAGGAAAGAAAGGAAGGGAGGGAGGGAGAGCTGGAGGGAAGGAAGAGGATACGAGTAATTACATTTAGGGCTCACCCAGATAATCCAATCAAGGATAATCTCCCTGTCTCAAGACCCTTAATCACACCTGCAAAGACCACTTATCCACATAAGGCAATATTTGCAGGTTCAAGAGATTAGGATCTGATATCTTTGCAGAGGTGGGGGCATTTTTTAACCTACCACAAAATATCTCAAACTTAGCACATAGTAGGTGATTAAACACATTTATTTATTCATTGATTTGTTTTATTTTTATTTTGTAGAGATGAGGTCTCCCTGTGTTGCTCAGGCTGGTCTCAAACTCCTGGACTCAAGAAATCCTCCCACCTTGTCCTCCCAAAGTGCTAGGATTATGGTGTGAGTCATCACTCCTGGCAAAAACACATTTATTGAGTGAATGAAGGAATGTCCACAGCAAGGTCATAAGGGCTAGCATTGGGTACAGCTGTCAGCAAAAACTCAAATTTTTGTGAGGTTTTTTTTGTTGTTTTTTAGACAGAGTCTTGCTCACTCTGTCACCAGGCACCAGGGTGGAGTGCAGTGGCACAATCTCAGCTCACTGCAACCTCTACCTCCCTGGTTCAAGCAATTCTCCTGCCTCAGCCTCCCGAATAGCTGGAACTGTAGGTGCATGCAGCCGTGCCCAGCTAATTTTCTGCATTTTTTAGTAGAGATGGGATTTTACCATGTTGGCCTGGATTGACTCATCTCTTGACCCCCTGATCCACCCGCCTCAGCCTCCCAAAGTGCTGGGATTACAGGCGTGAACCACCGCGCCCGGCCCATTCCGTAGGTTTTAAGGCAATTTGTATTTCCTTTTCTATGAACAATTCCAATTGTTTGCCTGTTTTTCTATTGGAATGTTTTTTAGTCTTTATTTTTAGGGCCTCTTAATTCTTTTTCTCGAAAGGAAATCGATCCCAGGCAACGGTTGATAGCAAAATTCAATAGAAAACACTGGCTATGGTAGAGGACACATCTGGATTCAAATCTAGGCTCCATTATTTACAAACTGTTTGCCCTTGGGCAAGTTATTTAACTTCACTAATCTTATTTCTTTGTCTATTCCCATTTCACAGAGTAATTTTGAAGTTCAGAAATACTGTGCACAAAGAACCTTACATATTATATGCATTCAACATGTTTAGGTTTCTTTGAATTGCCTGTTTATATCCTCAACCCATTTTTTTTGTTTTGTTTTGAGATGGAGTCTTGCTCTGTTGTTGCCCAGGCTGAAGTGCAGTGGTGTGATCCTGGCTCACCGCAACCTCCGCCTCCCGAGGTTCAGGTGATTCTCCTGCCTCAGCCTCCAGAGTAGCTGGGATTACAGGTGTATACCACCCCACCTGGCTAATTTTTGTATTTTTTGGTAGAGATAAGGTTTCGCCATGTTGGGCAGACTGGTCTTGAACTCCCGACCTCAGGTAATCCGCCTGCCTCAGCCACCCAAAGTGCTGGGATTACAGGTGTGAGCCACCACATCTGGCCAACCCATTTTTTTCTAATTGGGTTCTTGTCTTTCTTATTAAAGGATCTGTTTGCATATTGTGGATATTAATCCTTTGTTAGGTTTGTTGTAAAGCTTTCCTGCAAGTTTGTGTTTTTGGTTATTTATTTTTCATCTAATATGTACTGAGCACCTACTCTGTGGCAGAGACTGTGCTAGGAACTGCAAATAAAGTAGTGAATGAAGCAGATACAGTCTCTGCCCTTAAGCTATTTCTAATTGAACAGAAATTCAAACAAAAGTAATTACAAAGTGTGACAAAGGCTAAGAAGGAATTTAGCAAAAGGGTGGGACAGAAGGGGATCCACTTTTGGTGGGGTGATCATGAAAGGCCTAAGTTAATTGACATTGAAGATGGCATTGAAGGATGAGAAAAAGCCAATCATGTCATGAGTGGAGGGACAAGCATATTACAAAGGACCGAAGTTGCAAAACTTGGCACATTCAGTAAATTGAAAGATCACATTCCCAAATCATAATTGGCAAGGAGCATAGTGATGGGAGATGAGTCAGAAGAGGTTGACAGGGCCTCATAGGACAAGATTAAGGAATTTGATTTTATTATAAGAGAAATGGAGAAATGTATAATTATATTTTATGTATACACACACACACACACATATATATATATAATCATTACTATTTTTTTTAAGTGACAGGATCTTGCTCTGTTGCCCAAGCTGGAGTGCATGGTGCAATCACAGTTCACGGCAACCTCAAACTCCTGGACTGAAGCAATCATCCCACCTCAGCCTCCCCAGTAGCTGGAACTACAGACATGCACCACCACACCTAGCTAATTTTTAAATTTTTTGTAGAGACAGAATCTCGCTACGTTGCCCAAGCTGGTCTTGAACTCCTGGCCCCAAGCAACCTATTTATATTTTAAGGAATAGTCTCATGGCAGCTGTGACAATGGATTGCAGAAAGGAAAGATCAGACATTAGGCTACCGTGTTATTGATAGAAGTTAGGATAATGGCTTGTACCACGTGGTGACAGTGAGCATAAGAAGAAGGCAGATTTCTGGTGTGTTTTTTTGCTTGTTTGTTTTTGTGGTGTTTTTTGTTTTTGTTTGTTTTGAGACAGAATCTTACTCTGTCACCCAGGCTGGAGTGCAGTGGCATGATCTCAGCTCACTACAACCTCCGCCCCCGAGGCTCAAGTGATTCTCCTGCCTCAGCCTTCTGAGTAACTGTGATTACAGGTGCTCGCCACCACGCCTGGCTAATTTTTGTATCGTTAGTAGAAACAGGATTTTACCATGTCGGCCAGGCTGGTCTTGAACTCCTGACCTCGTGATCCAACCACCTGGGCTTCCCAAAATGCTGGGATTACAGGAGTGAGCCACCGAGCCTGGCCTTGGGTATGTTTTGAAACAGTTCAAAATGATTTGTTAAGGAACTGAGTGGATGGCAAGGGAAAGGAATAAATCAAGAATAATTCCCCATTTTCTTTCTTCTCAACTTACTGGGTGCTGGTCGTGCTATTTAAGGAGGTAGGGAAGACCATCATGGGAAGGGAACAGATTTGAAAAGGAACCAAGATTTCAGTTTTTCACTTGTTGATTGCATTAACACATTAAATCTTCACTCCAACTCTGTAAGTACTATCATTAACTCTGCTTTAAAGATGAGACAACTGATCCAGAGAGAAATTAAGTAGCTTGCTAGGGTTATAAATGATAAAGCCAGAATCTATTGCTCTCTCTCTCCGTTTTCCACTCCTTCCCTCCATCCAATCATTTATCTTCTCTTTTTATTGAGACAGACTCTCACTCTGTTGCCCAGGCTTGAGTGCAGTGGCACGATCATGGCTCACTGCAGCCTTGACCCCTCAGACTCAAGTTATCCTCTCACATCGGTCTCCCAAGTAGCTGGGACTACAGGCACGTACCACCACACCCTGCTAATTTCTGTATTTTTTCTAAAGATGGGGTCTCACTATGTTGCCCAGGCTGGCCTCAAACCCCTGGGCTCAAGCAATCCTCCTGCCCCAGCCTCCAAAAGTGCTGGGGTTACAAGCGTGAGCCACTGCACCTAGCCATTTAAATCCTCATCCATCCATTCATTCTTCTAATCAGCCATCACCTCATCTTAGTTCCCCACACAGCGTTTTCTCAATTCACCCATCCATCTCTTCACCCACTCATGCAATCATCCAGCCATCCTCCCCAATAAATATTCACCACTTGCCAGCTTCCTCAGGCATCTGATACCTGCTGTGCAGGAGGAAAGTCAGGGCTGAGAAGCTTTGAGAAGGCATGAGACAGACACACTGGCATGCAGCTCGGCTTAAGGTATTTATTCAGTGCTCTCACATTTGGCCTCTGCAACCCAGAAAAGGGGTAGAGCAGGGTAGGAGCACATGATGCATCCTTCAGACACTGCAACCTCCAGGAGGATCAGGTCATCTTCGGGAAGTCTTCATTCCCCGTGGATGACTGATCAGTCGTAACTGCAAGAGACAGATACTTAGCACCTCTGCCTGCAGACTAACCACCCACCCTGACTGCCCTCATCCCATCAGCATCCAGGTGCCTCCGCCCCAAGAAGCCTGGTTTCCGCACTACATCCCTCACCATGGGGAGAAGTCCTGCGCTCTCCATTTCTCCACCGCTGGCTTCTGCTGGGAGTTATGCCCATCATTGGTCTGGTCCCCGTCAAAGTTTCCACAGGCCCCACACAGTTTCCCAGCATGGTCATCGCTGACCATCACAGCCAGCTTCCCATCAGCTCCTAGCCACACCTGGACCCCTGCCTTCTGGTGGACTAGCAGGGAGCCATCAGGTGTACGACTCACAGACACAGATGCTAACTTCTCGGCTGGGAGATCCACTCGGAGACCATTCACCTGGTGGAGGGCGGGCAGCAAACACAGAGGTGAGGCCACAGCCATAGAAAAGCTGGGTGTTACCAGGATGGAGAGACCCCAGACAAGATAAGTTCGAGGAGCTAAATCAGTGAGATGAAGACCTGGATGTTGGCACTATTTGGAGCAATGGATACATGAGAAGATAACTGGACAACTGAATAGATGGATAAAAGGACAGAGAGTGGAGGGATGGAGAGATGGACCCACGGACCTATACAACCCCCCAAAGGCTGTCAAACAAGCCCCAGGGTCATCCTGTATGGTTCTAGTTTTCTTTTTCTTTTCTTTTTCTTTTTTTTTTTTTTTTTGTAGAGGGCTCTCACTCTGTCACCCAGGCTGGAGTACAGTGGCGCAATCTCGGCTCACTGCAACCTCCGCCTCCCAGGTTCAAGCAGTTCTCTGCCTCAGCCTCCTGAGTAGCTGGGATTACAGGCACCCACCACCACACCCAGCTAATTTTTGTATTTTTAGTAGAGATGGGGTTTCACCATCTTGGCCAGGCTGGTCTTGAACTCCTGACCACATGATCTGCCCGTCTCAGCCTCCCAAAGTGCTGGGATTACAGACCAGAGCCACCACGCTTGGCCTTTCTTTTCTTTCTTTTTTTTTTTTTTAAGATAGGGTTTTGCTGTGTCATCCTAGCTGGAGTGCAGTGGCGCAATCACAGCTCACTGCAGCCCTGACCTCCTAGGCTCAATCAATCCTCCCACCTCAGCTTTCTGAATAGCTGATACTACAGGACTACAGGTATGCACGACCACCACACCCAGCTCATTTTTCTATTTTTTTCTGTAAAGATGGGGTCTCTCACTATGTTGCTAGGCTGGTCTTGAACTTCTGGACTCAGGTGATCTGCCTACCTCAGCCTGGTTCTAGTTTGCAAAATAAAACAAACTTTGAGCACATCCTGCAAGTTGCTGGTTCCCTAACCAAAGCAACGTTATCCTTTATTTTTGCAATGCTGATGTCTGAAGATAAGTAATGACTTCAGCAAATACAATAATCATCTGAGAAATTACTTTTTCTTCATCATGGGCTGCAGAGCCAGTACCTTTGTGAGTTTTTTTCCTTTAAATAACTGTTGTCTATGTTAGTTGGTGAATTAACCCTTCTAAAGTTAGACTCCCTAGAGAAACTTCCTTGAAAGAGTTCTCTCTCTATCTTTTTTTCTTTTTTTTTTTTTTTTATAAGTGCTTTGTTTGTTTGTTTTAAGACAGAGTCTTGCTCTGCCACCCAGGCTGGAGTGCAATAGTGTGATCTCAGCTCACTGCAACCTCCACCTCCCGGGTTCAAGCAATTCACCTGCCTCAGCCTTCTGAGTAACTGGGACTACAGGCATGTGCCATCATGCTTGGCTACTTTTTGTATTTTTAGTAGAGACAGGGTTTTGCCATGTTGGCCATGCTGGTCTCTAACTCCTGACTTCAAGTGAGCTGCCTGCTTTGGCCTTCTAAAGTACTGGGATTAACAGGCGTGAGCCACCATGCCCGGCCCTCTAAATGCTTTTGTAACTGAGTTTTCCTCTGCCAGATGATTGGAGAGATCGGTAGATAGATCTGAAATGACAGATGGGTGGATGGGTGGGTGAATGGATGGAAAGATGGATGGATGGATGGATGGATGGATGGATGGATGGATGGAAGAAAGAAAGAAAAAAAAAGAAGACAAGAAGGAAGGAAATAGGAAAAAGGAAAAAGGGAAAGGGGGTAGAATAGATGCTGGAAGAAGGGAGGAGAAAAAGGAGGATGGGCGTAGTGAAGGATAGATGAAGACTAGCGGATGGAAAGTCTCAGTAGGGTAATGTATAACTGAGTCTGAGCCATCTCTGTTATCCAGCACATGGCCTGGCACAAAAGGAGCAAGGCTAAGTTTCTTCACAAAACCGTCTAGGTGCCATGCCCTGATCTGGGTACTGGTGACCAAGATGGACAGGATCCCTGCCTACCTGAGGCTTATAGTCCAGTGATGAACAAAGATGCTGAACATCTTCTGGGAGTTTCCTTCTAGGAGTCTGGAACTTTGGTAGGTGGATACCAAAATTTCAAAACCCCAGGCACTGAGACGCTAATGAACTTCCCTGGTAGACAACATTTCATGTTTCATCACAACTTATTGCTGGAGGAATTAAGCACATCCTGTGTGACTCTACCGAGAAAGGACTCTCAGAAGCTTGCACCTGATTTCCCCTGAACTTTGCATGATGCACCTTTTCTGTTTGTTGATTTCACTTCGTATCTTTTCCCTATGACACATCTTAGCCCTAAGTACAACTATATGCTGAGTCCCATGAGTCCCAGTGAATCACTGAACCTGGGGGTGGTTATGGGAAACCCTGACACATGATGTGACCCCTGCCCCCAGCCTTGATCAATCACAGAACTTCCTCCCTGAAGTCACAGTGATTGGCTCCAGGGGTGGGCATGTGACCCAAACTAGCCCAGTGAGATATAATCCTGGGTCTTTTGTTGAACCATTTTCTGCTAAGCTGGTGGGGTGTAGGCCTGCGCAGCTGGTGGGGTGTCTTTATCCCTGCAAGTGGAAAGCCTGCTTGATAATAAGCTGATTTGGCAAATAGCAAGTCTCAAAGAGACAGAAGTACAAATTTCTGATAATATTGCCAGGGCACCTAGATCCAGCCATTCCCGAGGCTCCATCCTTGGATTTTCTAGTTACACAGACCAATAAATTCAATTTTGCTTATGGCAGCTTGAATTTGGTTTTAAGTCACTTGCAGTCAATAGAGTCTCAAATTCATACTAAGGTCAAAACTATTAAGTTACTTGAGTATGTTTTTGCTCCTCAAGAACTCAGCCAGAACAGAGGGACTAAGTTTGAAATACTGAGATAAAAACCAATCCAGAGACCAAACTGCAGAGACATGGATAAAGAAAACAGATTGCAAGACAGAAAGGAAGCCAGGAATGTGGGGACACTATAATCAGAAGAGCAAAAGCCCAGGGGAGACATTCCCAGCCCCTACTCACAAACTTACCCACACGCCCTTGTTCGGCGTCACTGTCACCATCCCATCCTGGAAGAAGATGTGGGCCTGGCCCACAGCCTCCGCTTTGCCATGGCAGGCCTGGACATCAGCAACCACACGGTACCAGGGGATGGTCTTCTCTAGTCCTGGGCAGCGGGAAGAGAGCTCATAGACACCCGGAGAGGTGATGGCACCACGAGCACCATCAAAGGTGGTGAGGTTGGCACCCACGGACAGGAAACAGAGGCCACGGGGAGCCCAGCAGTCCCGGGCTTCAGCCTGGACCTCACACACACGGCCTGGTGGGCAGCCAGCTGCCTGGCATGTCAGGCCAGAGCTTGGAGAACATGAACAGCGCTCGCTGCAGTCTGAGGTCAGCAGGGAGGAGTTCACCTGTGCACAGAAAGGGGCCAGGTTATGGCGGTGTGATGGATCGCAAAAATGGCCACACTCCTTGAACCCTCTGTTGTTATGCGGAGTGATTTTACAGACTCCCATTAAGAAATAAGAGTTTATTTCTCCCTCCCTATGAATCGAGGTTGGCCATAAGACTATATTAGTTCAATGACACAAAGAAGAAGCAATGCTGTCCCAGGTTTAAGCCTAGACCTCAAGACACCTTACAGCTTATCTTTCTCTCTCTCTCTCACAGAGATACATGGAACCTCACCCAGCCACCATGACAACAAGCCTGGGCTAGCTCCCTAGAAGATGAGTGACCCCACGGAACACAGATAACTCTTCCAGCTCAGGCCACCCTAGACCAGATAGCCTTCAGCTGACCCACCAGGTGACTACAGATATTATATATGAGGAAGCCCAGGGGATAGCAGAAGAAACGCCCAGCCAAGCCCAGCCTAAACTGCAGTCACAAATTCCAAACTAAATGAATAATTGTTGTTTTAACCCACCACATTTTGGAGTGATCTGTAACCTAGCAAAAGCTAACTGATACAGGTAAGAAATGAAGAAATGTGACTAACAACATAAATGCCATCTCTACACTGATGATTCCCACATCTCTAGGCCAGACCTGTCCCTTGAATGCCAAACTCACAAATCCAGGAAGATTTCTGGCATAGGCAGAGGGGTCAGGGCAGAGATGGGGAAGCATAGGGAGCTGTAGGGGTTTAAAGGAGGCACCTAACCCAGCCTAGGGGATCATGGATGGCTTCCAGCAGGCAGTGAGACCTGAAGAAAAGAGCAAACTTTGGCTCCATGTGCAACCAATGCGAGTTAGCATAGTGTGCTAACGGGTAGCCTGGGGCTGACTTCTCTATGTCACAGTTTCTTCATCTGTAAAATGGGGGAAATAGCCATAGTATCTATTGCATAGGATTTCCGTGATTATTAAATGAATTAACATCCATAACATGGCTGGGAGAGGCGGCTCATCCCTGTAATTCCAACACTTTAGGAGGCCAAGCCAGGAGGATCACTTGAGCCCAGGTGTTTGAGACTAGCCTGGGTAACACAGCGAGACCACATATCTACAAAAAAAAAAAATTAAATAATCAGCCAGGCATGACAGTGTGAGCCTGTGGTCCCAGCTACTCAGGAAGCTGAGGGAGATCATATGAGCCCAGGAATTCAAGGCTGCAGTGAGCCACGATCACACCACTGCACTCCCACCGGGGAGGCAGCATGCAATCCTATCTCAATCACCAAATAAATAAAAATAAAATAGCATGCATAACAAACATGGTGCACGGTAAGAGCGCAAAAATCATTAACAAGAATAAATCAATTCTGCAATTCAATTCACATTATTAAACAAGTATTAGGTGGGCCACCTATTCGCACTGTTGTAAACTGCTATTTCTTTTTACCAAGTGTGATGAACATGCAGGGCAAGGCCTAGTGCTCAGTGGCTATCTTTCCTGCATAACTGAGTGTAATCCTCAGCCACCCAGGCCACTAAGACGGGTGACTAGCCCCATTTTACAGGTGAAGAAAATGACGTTCAAGGAGGGCCCAGATGATGCCCCCACTCCACGATATCCAGTCCTAATCCCTGTAATGAGCAAATGTTACTTTATATGGGAAAAGGCTGCAGATGAGATGGCATTAAGAACCATTTTTTTTTTTAAGAGACAGGGTCTCGCTATGTTGCCCAGGCTGGAGTGCAGTGGCTATTCACAGGCGCAATCCCACTACTGATCAGCACGGGAGTTTTGACCTGCTCCATTTCCGACCTGGGCCGGTTCACCCCTCCTTAGGCAACCTTGTGGTCCCCCACTCCCGGGAGGTCACCATATTGGTGCCAAACTTAGTGATGCATAGTGCACTACAGCCCAGAACTCCTGGGCTCAAGCGATCCTCCAGCCTCAGCCTCCCAAGTAGTCGGGACTACAGGCACATGCCACCTCACCTGGTGGAATTAGGGATCTTAAGATGGAAAATTTCTCCTGGATTATCTGAGTGGGCCTTAAATGCAATCATGTGTATCTTCATAAGAGGGAAGCAGAGGGAGATGTTACGACACATGTGGAAGAAGAGGCAGAAGTTGGAGTGATATGGCCAGAACCGAGGAAAACCTGCAACAACCAGCAACTGGAAAAGGCAACGAACAGATTTTCCCCTAGATTTCTTTTTTCCTTTTTTCTTTAGAGAGAAGGTCTTGCTCTATAACTCAATCAAGACAGTTGCAGATAGGGCAAAAAAGAAAAGAGAGAAGGGCTTGCTCTGTCACCTAGGCTGGAGTGCAGCATCGTGATTATAGCTCACTGCAGCCTCCAACTCCTGGGTTCATGCAATGGTCCCACCTCAGCCTCTTGAGTAGCTGGGACTATAGGTGTGCACCACCATGCCCAGCTAATTTTTTTTTTTTTTTAATGTAGAGATGGGATCTCAGTATGTTGCCCAAGCTGGGTTTGAATTCCTGGGCTCAAGGGATCCTTCCACCTCGGCCTCCCAAAGGGCTGGGACTGCAAGTGTGAGCCACTGGGCATGGCATCCTCTAGATTTCTCTGGAGGGAGTGCCACCTTGCCAACACCTTGATGTCAGCCAGCGATCGAGGTTCTGACTTCTGGATTTCAGAACTGTGGGAGAATGAATTTCTCCTGCTTCAGCTGCCAAGTCTGCGGTCATTGGTTACAGAGGCTGCAGGAAACTAATAGGGAGAGGTTGCCTGCATCAAGTCACACCGCTGGGAGATGGCGGTGCCTCCTCTGTCCCCAGCCTTGAAGAGGTCAGCACAGAAGCAGCTCTGGGTCTCTCTCAAGCTCTTCTACCCTCTCTGCTCTGCCCAATACCCTACTCACCGGCAAGTATCGGCCATTATGGGTACAGCCACAATCTTGGATAGGGATGCAGACACCCTGGGAAAGCAGGTAGCGGTCGTCACACTCACAGCCCTCAAAGCAGCGGGTGGTGCAGCCCGTGAGGCCGGAGAGAGCGGCACAGGAGCCCTGGCAGGTGCGTGTGCAGATGGAGTAGTGGCTGTGGGCGGGGCACTGGAGCGCTGCAGAGAGAGGCGGCAGGGCGCAATCATACCTCCAAAGGGTCCTGGATAACCAATGGGGCCCACTGCACACCCAGCCCTGTTTTAGGTGGCGCTGAGGACACAAGTATTGAGAACAGCCTCAACCCCAGTCCTACAGATCTCATGTCCAGTGGGACAGACAGGAACAGCCCAAACTGAACATGCTGCATCAGGGAGTGTAGACAGAGGGGCCAGGACCAGGACTGGGGGGACAGGCAGAGGGGTCAGGACCAGGATAGGGGGGATAGGCAGAGGGGCCAGGATCAGGATGCGAGGGGGACAAGCAGAGGGGCCAGGACCAGGATGGGGGGACAGGCAGAGGGCTCAGGGCCAAGGTCAGGGGGCACAGGCAGAAGGGTCAGGACCAGGATGGGGGGGACAGGCAGAGGGGTCAGGGCCAAGGTCAGGGGGCACAGGCATAAGGGTCAAGACCAGGATTGGGGGGACAGGCAGAGGGACCAGGACCAGGATAGGGGGGACAGGCAGAGGGGTCAGGACCAGGATGGGAGGGATAGGCAGAGGGGCCAGGACCAGGATGAGGGGGGACAGGCAGAGGGGTCAGGGCCAAGGTCAGGGGGCACAGACAGAAGGGTCAGGGCCAGGATGTGGGGGGCACAAACAGAGGGGTCAGGCCTGGGGTGGGGGGCACAGGCAGAGGGACCAGGGCTGGTATGAGGGGCACAGGCGGAGGGGGTCAGGGTTGGGACAGGGGCTGTACGAACCCAAGGGAAATAGCCATGGTAAGTCCCTGGTCTCTGGCTAAGTAATTGGTGGATGGTGTGGCTGTTCTGTGATGCCCACCAGGGTTGGGCTGGGGGTGAAATGCTGATTTCATTTAGGAACACGGCAGGTGAGAGGGACTCTAAGGTCACCCAGGAAAAGGTGTCCTGGATACCCTAACAATGACCACAGACTTGGTAGCTTAAACAGGAGAAATTCATTCTCCCACAGTTCTGAAGGCCAGAAGTCAGAAATCAGGATAACTGGGCCGACAGTCAGGAGAGAGTTCAGGGCTTGAGACAGACAGACCAGGTCCACAGTCAACACCGAGAACAAATCTGAGGCCACAGGCGTGGACGATGGCCCTGGGTACAGGTCCTGCCCAGAGGAGACCTGGCTCTGACCTGGGGCCAGAGGGGCCATTGCTTTGTCCTGAGAGTCTCAGGGAATGTCCCTGCCCTGGGAATTTGAATGAGAGGTACAGCCCTAGTTTGCGGGGGGTTGGGGGGGTGGTCTAAGAGGCTGCAGCCTTGTCTTGGGGGGATCTGAGGGAATATGGTCTTGTCAGGGGGTAGAGGAGGGTCTGGGTGAGCCACAGACCTCCCAGCCCACTCAGCTCTCCCTTTCAGGTCGCTGCAGAGAGCCCGGGGTAGAGCCCTAGGGACGAAGTGAATTTGAGGTTTGAGGAGAGTGGGCCGGAAAGGAGGCTGAGAAGGAACAGTCAGAGGGCAGCAGGGGAGCTAGCGAACTATGCCGTGGGAGAAGGAGGTGTGTGGGCGTCAGGTGGGAGTGGGTGGGGAGGGAGAGCTTTCATAGGGAGAAACTACTCCTAACATGCAGACAGAAGGAATGGGCCAGGAGGGACCCCTACACCTGGTCTAGAGTCCTCTGAGGAACCCAGGGACACTCACGGCAGAAGCTGTCTGTCCTCCAGGGCTTCACGGCCACGCCGGCTGCCTGACAGGCCGCCGTATAGGCTGCCAGGCTGCGGCACAGGAAGGCTTTGTCACCCTTTTGGGCGCACAGGTCATACACGCATTGGCGGAAGTACTCAGACGGACTCAGCACGGCCTGGCAGGTGGCAAAGGGGCCCTGGGGGTCCCGCAGCTGCCCACAGGCCTTGTTGCTCTCATAGGGTGCGGTCTCTTCTGCCGAGCACACGGGGCAGCCTTGGGGCCCGCAGCCCTCGCCACAACCCTGGGAGGAGCCAGGCGCCCGCCAGGCAGCCCCGAAGGTCTCCACGCTGGACGCTGCTGCGCCACTGGGCAGGACAAAGTCGTCACTCCAGTTGCCATTGAAGTTCCCACAGAGGCCACAGAGCCGTCCACGGAAGGGGCTGGGGATGGACATGAGAATGTGGGCATCGCCATCAAAGAGAAGCCGCAGCCCCTTGGTCGTCTGCAGAACCATGTTTCGGCCCTCGGCGGTCACCCGCACGCGGCCCACAGCCACAGGCAGGGCCACAGCCTCGCCGTCCACAGTGACCTGTGTGGAAGGGGCAGGCAGGTCAGGAACCCACAGGACCACAGGCAACGCTGTCCTGTCACACCCCCAGGGCAGAGCTGTGACTCCCTCAGTCCCATTAAGGTCAGGTCATGTTCTTTTAAACTTCTTGGGGACCAGGCCTCACACCTGCAATCCCAGCATGTTGGGAGGCCCAGGCAGGTGGAGTACTTGAGCCCAGGAGTTCAAGACCAGCCTGGCCAACACAGCAAGACCTCATCTCTACCAACAATACAAAATTAGCTAGGCTACCTGAATTGAACCTTAGAAAGACTGGAAAAAATTAAAAATAGAAAAAAAAAAAAGGCATGGGGACTGATGTGGGAGGATCGCTTGTACCCAGCAGACCGAGCCTGCAGTGAGAGGTGATCGTGCCACTACACTCCAGCCTGGGTGACAGGACTACACCCTATCACAAAGCAAAACAAGGCTCCCTGGGGGCTGGATGTGGTAGCTCACACCTATAATCCTAGTGCTTTGGGAGGCCGAGGCATGTGGGTCACGAAGTCAGGAGTTCAAGACCAGCCTGGTCAACATGGTGAAACCTGGTCTCTACTAATAATACAAAAAATTAGCCAGGCATGGTGGCAGGTGCCTGTTAATCCCAGCTACTTGGAAGGCTGAGGCAGGAGAATCGCTTGAACCTGGGAGGCAGAGGTTGCAGTGAGCCAAGACCATGCCACAGCACTCCAGCCTGGGCAACAGAGCAAGACTCTATCTCAAAAAATTAAAAAAAAAAAATCTCCCTGGGTGAGACTATTCACCATACCTTCCAGGGTAGGGCTCAGAGCTTCCAGGCTGGAGGAATATTCCTCTCATACATACAGGGTGGGGTCACGTCTCCCTCAGAACCCCTTAGGGGGCACTGCATTGCCTTCAGACCCCGAGGGCAGGACCATAGCCACTCACCTGCGGCCCCCGAGCTAGGCTCACAGCCTGGCCGGCCACAGTAACCAGCAGGCGTTCGGGGTCTCCAGCCGCATTCTTCTCGAGCACGATGGAAAAGTCCTCATCTCCAGGCTTCGGGTGGCAGACTTGGGCCAAGATATAGGAGCAGGAGCCATGCAGGTCATAGACACGGCCATCGAGGGTGATGTAGTGGATGCCCCCGCTGGCCAGGCAGCGGCCACAGCCCGTGGCATGGCAGGCCTGGACACCATCCTCTAACCGGCACTCCTCATAGGGCCCGCAGGCCGAGCCCTCCCGGCAGGTGACATGACCAGATGGCCCACACTCACAGCGCCGCTCACACTCAGGGCCCGGGTAGAAGGCCTGGCCCAG